AGAAGTTTTAATCACTGGATCAGTTGGGGGAAAATCTAATGGGAACAGCTGTCCAGAGTGAGGAGGGTTAAAATGTATTGATCAAATTAAGGATTTAATACAGAAATTTTTCATTTTGGATTGTACCTCTGCGTGCTCACAGTAGACTTGTCTCTCAGAGACCACGGATCATTGAGTGAGAGTGGGAATCAGACTGATTTAGCTGTAATAATTAACTGCCCGTTCAAAATTAGGCAGACTAATGATTTTCTCAAAAGAGAACATGCAGAAAAACTATGCCTTTAGTGTCACCACATTGTAATCTATAGCATTTATTGTTCAGGGGGAAAAAAGGTTGAAGGTACTTAAAAAAAAAACCATTCAGACAAGATGTGCAATTGCCCATGTTGCTTTAATGCTTTTCCTAATTGGGCAACAGTATCGTATGCAGTGCTGTAGACGGAGCCTTAAGTGGCACATGGGAACCTTCTGGGCGTATGAACTCCAAATAAAACTTTCTACACATCATGTTAGGTGGCTCTGAAACAACCTTAATTGGAAAGGAGAAATGTGCTATCAGGGGTGGATTCCTCCAGAGGGATGTAAATTTAATACTGACACTCTTCATGATGGAGCCCAGGCAGTCGGGGCAGGGTGTAATCATAAGAGCTATCACTGGGTATTAGTGCGTGCATTTATTACTGTAGATGCTGGTGGACTTAATTATATGTGGGTGTAATTAAGATGAAGTCCCTGGTAATAAAGTTGCTGCTTGTCTGGTTCTCTTTCTCCAAAACAACACAGTGCCTAGAATGGGAGGAAGCTAAAAGCTCATTGACCCACAAAGTGCCCATCCGACTGTTTATTAGATGCACTGCAGAGGCAGGACAGTGTGATGTAATCAAGTGCTGAAACAATAGTTTGGTAATGGATAAACACTCGAGCTGTACCTAATTATTTGTGTGATTTCAAACAATACAACGTTATTATGGAGTTTGTTTTTTTAATGGAGCATTTGAACATTTCAATTACCATAAATTGTTAATGTTGGCTTCAACTTTTTCCTCTTATTTTATTACACAATAACCTACAAATAGATTTATATGATCTACTATCTGCCATTATCTGTCTGTGCTTATTGTTGAATTTTTGAAAAAAATGTAGTTCACTGTTTTCTTTAACTCGTAGTCTGTATCCATGCAACTAGGTTACTGATTCAAACTGTTCATTAAAGTTTTAAATTAGCTGGAGCTGCCACTCAGCCTGTACAGCTGGAGGCTCATTTTTTATTCACCTTACCTTCAGGCAGCACACAAAGATGGGCAACAGAAGGTGTGAGGACAAAACAGAAGTCCTCTCTATGAACAGCAACAGAAAAGCTCAGCTATGGAAATATTTTAATCTTGGGTGAGAACAATTTTCCTTCTTGTTCAGTAAAAATACTTAGGCTGATACATGATCAGCCTAATTATCGGCATGTGCATAGGTGCATGTTATACCACAATTCAGCTCTGCAAAACAACCAAAATTGGGGAATGTGCTTTAAAACGTGCTTTTACCTCATAGGGTCCCCCACTGAAGCTATTAAACCAGCTAACAGATACCTGAAGGACCTGTGGCTCTTCTGAAAGGATATATAGCCTGGGATGGAGGGCACTTTGCCTTTTTGTTTCTTAAAACAAGCCATTATTAAAGGCTTTACCATGTCAAAGCCCTCCTCTTTCAGTTCTTACACCCACCATCTGTTTCCAAACTTAATCCTAAAGCTGCTGATGGCAGGCTACTATGACTGTCCCATTTTCCATCTATTTATACTTTAACATACTTTTTTGGGAAATAAAGGTAAATAAATATGACTCACTGCCAAATAGGTTCCCAAAGGAAAGCCTTAATTTTAGCACAGTATGGACAGAATTAGGTAGTTTCTACTAGTATTAAGCAAAGTATTGACTTGCTTTAAATCAGGATAAGCTCTGCCATTGATTAGCAAACGACAGTTACAAATCACTAACTGGCTTGGCAAAGATACCGTTAATACAAATGCCGTAAAGCGATTAAGTCTGGCAGATTTACTCGCACAGGCATTATTGGTCCATTTGTGTCAAATATCGAGAAACTGTCTACTCTTAGAAACACCTTCAAGCAAATAATTTTCCACTTTTGATCTAAGTCAGATTAGCATCTGAAGTTTCTGTATTCGTTATCATCTTCATTGATTTTCAATGCATTTTCCTCCACCACATGCTGCTTTTTAAGGTTATGACTTGCAGGGCATTTTCATCCGTAACAATGGGATATCTTGTCAATAGTTTAGAAATCAACAGATCTGATCTTGATCAGGGAGATTAGAGCTAATTGCTATGGAAATGCATAAATTCTAATCTCTTATCAGTTGGACCGAGTGTAGAAGGAGGATCACACACCATTTCAGTTGAATATTATTTGATCTGAAAAATAGTGACTGCAGCCTCCATCGTTATTCATCGTGAATAAACAAGAGAAAAAGAACAAGCCACTCTTTAGAGTGTGCTGGAACTTTTCCAGTGTACGTGGAAGAGTAATGGCCTCTCATTGCAGATCTGACTCTGTGTAGAAGGCAGCTCTAAGGCAGAGACCTCAAAGGATTTGGCTTTTTACCCTTCGCTATTGCTCATCCACACTTATCCATATACAGTGTGCAACAGAGAGGGAGTCATCATGTGGTGTCTCTTAGCAAAGACTTGTTTGATCCTCCTCTGTGTTTGCAGGTGAAAGGCGATGAGTCACTCACTGGCATCTTTAATGATCTCAACCCGCTGCCTTTTTTACGCCCCCTACCCATCGCTCATTTATCAACAATATCACATGCACTAAAACTTCCTCTTCTCATCATACTAAGCTGTAAACTGTCTGAATCGGTTCTGAAAGGCGGCTGGCAGGTGCAGGGCTGCTGTGGAACTCACGCAGGGGCACACATATACACCACAACACATTTCATTGGTGTCCTCTTTTTAATGTTTATCCATCCCGTGCTGCTCTTTTACAGTCAGTCCTTGTGCTTCATCCATTAGCCCCCTCGTAATGTGCCGTTCCTGACATCCCAGTTTTAAACCCAAACACAGGAAGGGTGGGAAGCAAGAAAAACTAGTGAAAAAAAATCCACCAGATATGGTCGCAGAGGGACACCAGAGCGGGTCTGGGCGGTGTGTTTTAGAGCTCCCTGTCCTAGTTTGGCAAGGGATGGGATTCTTTCTTGAGCGTGAGGTGCTTCCTAAGCAGTGAATTATTTAGGAAAGCTTCCTTTAAACGTGGCCCCACTCAGAGAATTTAACAGACAAATACAGAGCTCCTTCGCTGGGGTGTCTGTCTGTGGCTCAGGCGGAGGAGTGGTTGGCTGCCAAAGGGTCAACGAGTCAATCCCAGGCCACATTTTGAGGAGATGTCTTTGGGCAAGACATTGAACTCACCAGATGCCTGCAATGGCACCTCAAATGGAATGGGACGCTGTATCCTGTTTGTCAGTGTCCCAATCCCAGATAAACCTGAGGCTTATGAACTTATGATCTTTGAGTGCCTGGAGGCCCTCCGGGGATAAAAGGCGAACAGCACATTTAACCACACAATGGAAATGCACTTGCCTGCACTTCCAGGTGACCAGCTGCCACCATCACTTGTCTCTCATCTCTTTGAAATTGTGAGACTTGATTTGAGGGGTCTGGATTGCCACTTCAGACTTCCATTCAATTTTTGCTGTTGATTTAACATCTTTAGAGACAAGTGCCATGACACAGCCGGAAACAATCAAATCTCTCATAAAAGGAGCCTTAAGTGACAATCGTTGATATAAGTGATGTCAGAGTTCTGTCAGGTTCCATTCACTGTTTTTCCTTTTTTTCATATTGGCGAAAAATTGTCACAATTGTGCTGTTTGTTCTGGACAGAAGCACAGCGGATGAACCAACTGTTATAGACACCATTGGCTGTACATTAGACTTTAGATCCGTGATCCCCTGTAAACACATTTATGCTTTCCAATGAATGCATAAAAAGTCGGATTGCATCAGAACTTGGAATAGTTTTTACATTGTTTATTTTTTAATTATATTTAAAGTCATGGAACTGAATATAAAATTAACAAACTAACTGAATTAGAACAAGGGGAGACTTGATATTCATTATTGCCTTGCTATTTTTTTAGTTTTGCACATTGATTGTTCATGCAATAAATAGTAAGAAATAGAAATAAGAAAGAAGTAAAAGTAGAAGAAAGAAATAAGGAGCAAACTATTCCAAATGAAAAAGCTGTGTCATGCAAAGGTTTGGGGACTTCTCAGTTAGGAGAGCACCTGATTTTCGGAGTGATTTGAGATTTAGGTAAATCGACTTTTTTATTTTCCTTTCTGAGGGTTATTGAAGAAATAATTTTTCACTGCTTTTGGGTTTTTTTTTTCTCAAAGGGTTCATTTTAATTCTGTAAGATTTGGGGGAACTGTATTGAGTTTTGCTAAAGATAGAGGAGAGGTCTACCATTATGAATATAGTCTTAAGTAAAAAAAAAATTAACACAAGAAAAATAATAGAAATCACGAGCAACAATGGGCATTTGTTGGAGAATTGCCATGCAAGTAATAAGGACTACTGGACATAAAAACGGGGATCTTCAGTTCACACCAAACTGCATTAGTCCGTCTTATTTATTCTCCACAAACGGACAATTTACAGAGTTTCTGGGCTGGGCGCCTCACACCACCACCCAGCCTCCACTATCGGTCCTTTCCTGTCATGCATGGTCCTTTTTCTGGTCTGAGAGCTCGCCTGCGCGCCCCAGGGTCACTTCCCCTGCCCCCCCCCCCCTGCTGTCCGCGGGCCGGGCGCGGTGGTGGGACTGCTGGATGCGTGACGTTGGCGAATTGCAGCAAATGCCGAAGCGTACGTGAGGGAGAGAGCAGCCAGGACGCACCGCATACGGCAGATTTGGGGCGGGAAAGGCGAGCGGAGGAAGGGGGTGGGAGTGGAGGGGTAGGGGGGGGGGGACACGACAGAGGCAGGGAGACAGATCATCAACAGGGAGTCGGATGGACGGGAGAGGACGCGGAGCGGGGAGCCGGCTGTGACGGTCCCCTCAGGAGCTCTGGTGTCTGCATCAAACCAGCTTCAGGGATGTAGTCGAAGCGGTTTGGAGCTCAGCCCATCCGAGCTCATCATCATGAAGAAACACTCCGCAAGGGTGGCCCCTCTGTCCGCCTGCAACAGCCCGGTGCTCACCCTCACCAAAGTGGAAGGTAGGGAGAGCTCTTATCCATTCAGGCTGCGTCCAGACCCGCACAGCTGGACAGCTGTTTGCGCCGCTCAAATGAATCGCTAGAGAACAGATTCAAAAGTGACACTAATTCAGTTAGATATGCCAAAAAAAAAAAGACAACTCACGATTCTTGTTATTAAAACACGAGTCAATTTTGAACGAAATAAATCTCACAGCGACCCATTTGAGGGAATAACCTTGTGCGCAACTTGAAATTGTGTGCACTGTTTGTGCATTTTGACACTGGACAGCGTTCAAAATGTTTCTTAGTGAGTCTTTCGTTGGGTTATGTTGATAAAAAGATCTTCAAATAAGGCTCGGAATTGATCCAGGACCTTGATCTGTAGACATTCACAGAAGGTAACCAGCCGGCTCCTGGTGTCCTGGTGTGTCAAACCTGCTGATCCCCAGGGAGTGTCAGAAGTTGTTATTGCAGCAGGGATTCCCCTCACTCTGCCCACCCTCCATCTATCCCAGGCTGCAAGAGTTACAGCAAAATGCCACAGCATTGTGTGTTCACAGCAGCTGGGACTTGATCCCAGCAGCACACATGTCCATGCTCCATGTAAATAATCTAACTCGCCTTCAATCTGCTTTCATTCGTTAAAGGTCACTCTTTTCTGCCGGCTCTCTTTTTTTTAGTTTCTTTGGTTTCCTGCCCAGCGGCAACACAGTTTCTGTAGGATTTTGCCATTTCCTGTTGTTTTCATTAAAGGAGGATACTAACAATGTGGGCACATAGCTGCTGATGCTCTGTTTGTGCTGCAGCGTGCTCAGCCCCCCTGTCCTGGTGCCTTGGCTGAGAACAGTTGTGAACATACCTTTTACAGTATCTGATGCTCTACCCTGCTTTAGAGGGTTTTTTTTTTATTGTTGAGCATGAGCACAGAGTGAAAACCAAACAGGCTGCTGACTTCACCGTGTCCTTTTCCAGGAACGGAAAGGCACATCTGCAATTTCTACGAGAATCGGAATAAGGATTATAGTAATGAAGAATTGTTAATATGTATATTTGGAATGAGAGCTGATCTTCTGGTGCAGCCACTGCAGAATGTCAAAATAGCAGCCTCTGAAATAGCTGTTTAAAATGATGCTGGATCCATTTGTATAGTAAAAAGAAACATGTGGTGCTACATCTCTCTTTTGCCATGCTTTATGTCTGTTTGCTGACTAAGACTAATCAGTGCTCGATGCTCTGAGCTCCGTATGATTTTAGAATCTCCCAACAGTATGCGGTATAAATCAAAAGTATCTTAAGTACCTTATCCATAATATATAACTGTTACAGATGCTATCATTTAAATGAGGATATTTTTTGCTTGCCTTATCGGCTCTGCAGAAAGATTAAAAGATACCGGAAGACTCTTGAGCTGTTGCAGTTCTTGAGCGTTGCACATATTCAGGAGCAGGATGTCCAGGAGAACCTCATAATAATCAGTGCTATTGTCAAGGATCCCAAACTCACTAGAGCAAAAGTTGGGAACTAAATGCTTTGGAATTCTTGAGAGGGTGGGCTCTTATTCGTCCTGTTGTGAAAGCTGTGAGTGAAGGGAGGATTTGATGTGTGTGTCTGTGGTGATAAAGCATGGGAAACTGTTGAGACGAGTCAAAGCTGTCATGTTTATGAGGCGAGCATTCGGCTCCTTGTATCAGCAGCCGCTTTGAAGGAGAAGGGGAATCGCAGGGGGCTGCAGCGGATCAACACAGCTTCCCAGAGCCTCTGGTGCTTACATAACCACAGCTCCAAAAACCTCCCTTTTCTTCTCTATCAACCTGAACCCTTCTTGCAAAAATCTATCTATTTTTTTAGGTTCGGGATCCTCATTGGGATCAGTTTCCGCCTTTCCTTTTTTGTGTCCAGGTATCGGGGGTAACAGTCATATACAGAGCATTTGTGAACGACTCAGTTTTTACTGGGGGAAGCTGCAACGTATATGCAATCTCAGCCAGGACTTTTTTTTATCGAACGTGAGCATTTCGTTTTCATTTTTGTCTCCTCAATGCTGTCAGTAATCCTCAGTTCTTTTGGGAGAGGGTGGAAGAGTCAACCAATCGATGCTGACGCCAGTTTCAGTGGAAAGTCATCTTAGTAAATCTGGAGAGAAATATAGTGCTGTTTCCTGAGGCCTGGAGTTTGATCCAGAGCAATCTTTTGAAGTGATCACTGCTTAGTCCGTGTGTTCTTTTGTGACACATTCACCAACCAAAACCCCATGGGCAATAATTATTGATTTCTCCTTAAATGAGTCTGTGTCCTTGAAGAGTGTCTGTGTTGTCTCTGTGTTGCAAGAAGCAAGGGTGAGATGTTCATAGAACTCGCATTATTAGCTTTAACTTAATAATACTAGCTTTGAAACAGAGCAGGCTTATTTAAAAGGTTATTCAGTGTTTAAAATGTCTCAAAGGATGCTGGGACTTATGAATACTGAACCACTGCACAAGAGACTCTTTAATCTTGAACATACGTTACTGTTTATTGGTCAGGCCATTGCAAATTAACCCTCAGACACAGATAATGAACTTGCTTATAGCAGTGTTGGACATGAAAAAGTGTTTCCCAGTGGTATGATAAATCTCTCTGAGTCTTAAATTAAGTCGAGCCATTTTATAGTGAGTGTCTCTGCACCTTGTTCTGTCTGCGCCCGGTCTTTTATGATGTTTAATAGATTTTAAACTAGACAACTCAGCTTTTTTTTTTATAAACTCTGCAGTGGATGTTAAGTTTGTTCACTTGCTTGTTTCTGTACTTGCATATGGCTTTATCTGTTAGAAT